CAGATTGGTTCAATGTGGCTGTTATATACACTGCAGGATTTTTATTTTTATTTTTTTCACAACTTGCCTTGTCTTTGCTCTCAGCATTGAGGTCTGCACTTAGTGCTTATGTGCCCTTAGGTTTATCTGTGCTTGGTACAGAAAGATGGCAGATGGCACGTGTGAAGTGGAAGACTCTGGTTTCTTTGAGGACTCAGTTGAGTCATGTGATGTTTTTCTAGAAGCTGCCTTACGAGAGGGCTTGTGATGTTTCATTGGAGGCTGGCTTGTGAGAAGGCGCGCAGTGTTTTGTTATGAGCTGTCTCACGCAAGGGGCATGGCTTTGGTCAGCTGAGAGTTCTGAGGTGAGGAGACATTGCTTTTTGGATCCACATTGCTGCACTGATTTTCATGCTTCCACACTTGACTTAGCAGAGAAATGTTCCAGAGAATTTCTTGGGGCAATCCAACTGAGTCTGTGGCTTTCACTGACTTGTCCGGAATCATGCTGATTTGTGATGCTGCTTGGTGTTGGCCTTTGGACTGGACTACTGGTATCCGGACAATGAAGAGTGGACTCATCCCAAGGAACTACTTCTGAAAAGGTCTTCAGCCCCCTTTGCCTAATAACCTCCTTCCTTCCCTATGTCTGATTTGGGGGTGGAAGGGAGGTGGAAGCATTTAAGAACCCTAAATAAAGTAGGTTTGGTGAAAAATCTAAGCCTGCACACATTGTCACCCAAGGAATGTCATATGGTATCCATTGAGTGGTCTGCACACATGGAGATTGAGGAAGTCATCTGTGACTGCGTCCTGTGAAGACAGCCCCTGTCAGGGAGGAAACCTTGTGTGTGTGTGTGTGTGGGGGGGGGTTCCAGACCTTGAAGCAGCACAAAAGTGGAAGCCATTTTTCGTACACCAACTTTTCATTTTACAAAACACTAACAAGAAAAGCTTGCATGTCCCATTTCTCTGTTGGGTTCGTTGTCAGTTATATCCCTGCGGTGGTTTGACTAGGAACGGCCTCCATAGACTCATGTGTTTGAAAGCTTGGCCCATAGGGAGTGGCACTATTAAGTGTGCCATTGTTGGAGTAGCTGTGGCTTTGCAGCAGGAAATGTGTCATGAGGGGGCGGGCTTTGAGGTCTCAGAAGCTAAGGCCTGGCCAGTGTGCCACTGTCCCTTCCTTCCTGCTGCCTGTGGATATAGAATCTGAGGTACCTCTCTAGCACCACGTCTGCCTTCGTGCTACCATGCCTCCTGCCTTGACAGTAATGGACTTAATATCTGAAGCTGTAAGTGAGCCCCAATTGAATGTTTTCCTTTATAAGAGCTGCCATGGTCAGGTTGGGCAGTGGTGGTGCATACCTTTAATCCCAGCACTGGGGAGACTGAGGTAGGCAGAGTTCATGGCCAGCTTGGTCCACAGAGCAAGTTCCAGGCCAGCCAGGACTACACCAAGAAACCTTATCTTGAAAAAAAAAAAAAAAAAGGTTGTCATGGCCATGGTGTCTCTTCACAGAAACAAAACCCTAAGAAAACACCACTGCATTTTATTTATTTATTTTTTTTATTTTTTAATGTATATGAGTATTCTATCTGCATTTATACCTGCAAGAAGAGGGAATCAGTTCACATTATAGATGATTGTGAGCCACCATGTGGTTGCTGGGAATTGAACTCATGACCTTCGGAAGAACAGACAGTGCTCTTAACCACTGAGCCATTTCTCCAGCCCCCATTTTTTTTTTTTTTCAATTCCTGCTTATATCAGAACTTTTTCAGGTTTGTAGGATTCTGACTATCCATGGTTTGGATGTTCCCCGAAGCTTGGTGTGTTGGGAGACTTGGTTTGGGGGTGGTGATACGTGAAGATAGTGGAACTTTAGGGGGCAGGGCCTAGTAGGAAGGTCTTAGATCTTCCCGTGATTGCCTTATGTGGGGGCTGAAGGCCTCTGCCCTGGGACCCCTGAGCGCAGTTGCTCCTTCTCCAGTGACTTGTTGTGTGACTGAGCCTGACCCCTGAGTCGCCCTTGGATTTTTGCCAGGAGAGCTGTCCCTGCCACAAGCACTGTCCCTCCAGTCGCCCTGCAGGAGGAGCCCCACAGAGCAGATCAGGCTCAGGGCTGATCTGGCAGCTCTTCTGTTTTGTTTTCGGAGATGGTCTCTCTGTGTAGCCCTGGCTGCCCTGGAACTGTGTAGACCAGGCTGGCCTTGACTCTGCCTCCCCAGGGCTGGAACCAAAGGCGTGCACCACCGCCACCCAGCTAGACTTTTCGAGCTGTGAGCTAAACAGACTTCTTTCTATAAGGTCTGTCTGTCTACCTCAGTGACAAATACCGACTAATGTCATAAACCTGCCATAAAGTAAGCAGAGCACAGAGAGGACAGTGCGCCCTTACCACCTGGAAGCTGCCTAGCACCCGTCCTTCCTAAAGCATACCGAAGCTGCCTCACAGCAGCCACCTATCTGCTCTCCCGGCTACAGTGTTAAGCTTGTCCACGGCTCCATCGCAGGGACCTGGTTTTTATGAGGCCATGTCAGAACTCCAGTTCTGGATGAGGAAGAGAATAAACCCATCAACATGTCTGGTTGACATATGTATTGCCATGTAAGGCAGAGAGCAAGGCTCTATCATAAGGAAGCCAGGTGTGGTGGCACATGCCTGTCATTCCAGTACCTGAGAAGCTGAGGCAAGGCAAGAGTTCAGGATCAGCCTCAGTTACACAGTGAGTCTGAGGCCACCCTGGCTACTCAAGATTCTGTCTCCAAACCAACAGCAGCAGCCACTACCATCACCACCACCACAACAAAACAAACCCCAAACAATACCCCTCCCCCCAGGAAACTTGATTGCAGTGAGACAGGAGTGAGGTAGTTTTTAGCAGGTCCAGGAACAAACAGGTTGGGGTGATTCTCAGTGAGGAAAAGCTTGGACAGGCGACCTTTTAGGGGAGCCTAGAAGCCACATGTGCGTCTCAGACACTCAGAGTAGTGGGAAAGAGAGGAGTTCGGAAAAGATGAAGGGAACCAGGAGGGCATTTTGTCTGCGAGTGGAGTGTCCTTCCTGGCACAGTTCACTCTTTAGCATGTTCTGCAGTCCTATGAATCACCGTCATTACACAGGAAGTAACAAAAGGAATATATCTCTTGGCTTTACAAGGGATTACACTTAAATAAGGAGGGTCAAATCCTATCTGTTATGGAACATGTAGCTATCAGTGAAAGCAGAGAGAAGCCTTGGCCAGGGTGTCTGCAACGATCTAACAGTTGTTCTCAGCTAAGCAAACCTGGACATAGAGGAGTTATTATGTCCCGGCTGGAAAATGTAGGGTAGCCTGTCTTCATCTGCCCACGCAGAACTGGCTGTCCTTGGAGAGATACCGACACAAAAGAGATATTGAATAGGACCTGTGTCCACACAGCTACTTTTTGATCAATTCTGTCTGGACAAGTTGTCCTCTGCAAAGTTCTTGCTCCTCGGGGGGAATTTAATTGATTGCAAGTCTGTCATGGGGCCTGTTTTGACTCCAGGGTTCTAGAGTTCTCTTTGTGGACCTTGCTTTGGAATTTCCACCATGAGGGGCCACTTCAGGTCTGAGTAGCTTCCTTCTGGCTTGTCAGATAACCAAGGCCTGCTGGGAAAATGGCAAGAGCCATTGATCAGATGTGAACAATTCTGAGAGAGGCCAGAGGACTGGGGGATGCAGAATGCCTTGTTAAAACTGGCTTTTGTGTCCTGGAGCCATGGCTCAGCTGTTAAGAGCACTGGCTGGTCTTCCTCCGATTCCAGCTCCCACATCCCTGCCTTCCACGTGGCAGCTGTACTCCGTGGGATCCGACGCCCTCTTGTGGTGTGCAGGTGCACATGCAGACAAAACATAAACACACACACACATCAAACCCATAAACAAATAAACACAGCCGAACGCTGGCTTTTGTTTTGTTTGAGACAAGGTCCCATGTAACACAGACTGTCCTGGAACTTCCTAGGTAGCTCAGACAACTTCTGATCCTCCTGCTTAGAATTAAGGGCACATGCCACTTAAGGGTTAACGACCTAAAACAAGGAACTTCAAAGGAGCTGAGGAACCCCAGACTGATAGAACACCTGCCCGACAAGAAAGCCTAGTCGATGAGAACACACCTGCTGCTGCTGGGCCTTGAAACTGCAAAGCACACAACAGACAAAACTTCCCTCTCCCACGGGAGCCCAAAGCCTACTGTCCCTGTTCACAGTCTCCACTTCCCCGAGAGGCTACTGCTCTCCATTGTTCTGATTAAAGGATCATTCTGCCTCGGTCCAGGGATCAATCCGGGTCAAACAGTCACCATGCCAGGGTTTATGCAGGGCTGGGGGTCAAACCAGGGCCTCAGGCAATTCTATCAGTTGAGCCACAGGACAGCCCACAGCGTTACTGACTAAAACACATGGTTACAATCAGAAGGCCGGGTAAATTGAGATCACCCCCCAAAGCTGTCATTTCTATACAGCAACAAATGAAGTCATCCCAGAGGCTTGGAGTACACTGGGCCACACAAAGAGGGCATGGCGCCGGTGTGTGAAGCCCCGGCCTCAGTTTCCTAGTTGGAGGAGTCTGCAGAAGGGTTGCCAGCCCCCAATTCTAGCTTTACTTCTGTCCGAGCTCCTGCCCACACAGCGGTGGGGTTCTCTACTTGGAAAAGAGTGGGGGGCTTCCTCCCCAGAAAGCTCCTTTCCTCTCCCAGGCTCTGGCACTCTGAATTTTGGAAGCAGAAACAGACGACTGTGTGCAGAAAAAAAAAAAAAAAAAAAATGCACGTAGGGCAACGTGAAGTGTTGGAAGGAAGCGAGCCCAAGCCCGGGTAGTAGAAGGGGCGGGTTAACCGTTTCCTCTCCTCGTTCCAGTCCTCGACGCTGTTTGTGCTTGCAGAGGTCAGAGGTGGGTGTCACTTTAGGGCGGGACTGCCCAGGGACTTGGAAGCGCCTCCTCGGGACCACAGCCAACAGCATAAACTGTACGAATGGCTTCTTTATGACGCGACGGGTGGTGTGTCCGCGACTCCCGGGGCAAGTGGCGCCCGACCGCGCTCAGGGCTGACCGCCGGGGGGCCGGGACGGCCGGGCGGAGCCGAAGCCGGGCGCCCAGGCTCGGCTAGACGCGTCGGGAGGAGCCGGCCGGCGGCACGTGACCGACCGCGGAGGCCGCGGCCCAGAAATAGCCCGGGGGCCGCGGTCCCGCCCCGCGGCCGGCGAGAGCGCTGGGGAGGCGGCCGGACCCAGGCTGGGCGCGGTGCGGCCCGGACGATGCTGCTGAGCCCCGGCCCGGCCCGGCCCAGAGCACATGATGGCGATACGGGAGCTCAAAGTGTGCCTCCTCGGGGTGAGTCCTGGCTCCGCGACGGGCACCCCGGCTCCCGCGCGCCTCCGTCCCCGCGCGCTCCCTCCCGCGCCCCGCGCTGGCCGCCGGGTCCCAGCCGCCCCGGAGCGCCTCCGCTGGCCCCGTCTGCGGCGGCCGCCTCGGGGAACCTCGGGGCGCTCCAGGCTGCGGGCAGGGCACGGCGGGGCGGGGCGGGGTGGGGGGCTCCTGGGGACCAGACCACAGCGGGTCCCGCAGCAACTCGGGGCCCCCCCACCCCCCCGAGGAATGTTTAAGTTGCTCCGCGGAGGCGCTGGGTTTCCTCTGCCCTCCGCGGGGGTGGGGGTGGGGGTGGGGGTGGGTGGGAGTCCGGGGTGGCAATTGCTTTATTCGCTGAGAAAACAAACCTTCCAAACCGGGGTGGGAGAACCGGGGGTGTGGGGAGGGGTGGGTGTGTGTGTGTGGGGTTGGGCCCGACTGAAGAGCGAACTATGTATGAACTATGTATGAACTATATGTCCAGCAGTGGATGAAACGAAGCAGGATGGGAACCGCCTCCCCCCCCCCCCCCATCACTCTTCCCCTTCCAAAATGAGTCTTTCTCCCTACGAGCAGTCAGAAACAAAGAAGGCAACGGCGTCCAAACCCGTGAGACTCACGGACCAGACTGACAGGTCTGTCGCTTGAAAAGTCCCCCACCCCCCCAGGGGATTCAGCGTTTGGGGTCATTTCCTGGGGGCTGCCTACATCAGATCCCGAGAGTCTTCCCCAACGAGAGCTGGCGTCAAGCCACGTTCTCTGTAGCCTTTGGCATCCGTGCCTGGTGTGCGGCCCTTGAAGTTGGCCAACCTGGCCCTCCGAGGAAATAATTCTCTAAATAAAGAGTAGGTCGGCATTCATTCTTCTCAAAGAAATGTTAATGTGTCTGGCAAGATGGGCGTGGAAGTGTAGACAGGCAATGACTGCGGGTCAGGACGGAGTGTACCAAGGGCTTGTGCCTTCATCCGGGCTCTGTCGGGGCCTTCCTTTGGTGGAAGGAGGTGTTGGGAGCTGTCCCCCCCCCCCCCCACACACACTGTCCTCGCCGCGTAACACCAGTTGCTGTGATTTGTGGAGAATCCCAGGGAAGCTGACAAAGGTCCTTTCTTCCTCTTCTGTGTCCCGCAAGGCCTCGCCCGGGATCCTCACCTGCGGAGGCCGGGTAGGACGCTGCCCTTGGCTTTCTCTTTTGAACTTTTGGTGTGACAGGAGCAAGCTTCGTGTCTGTCAGGCTGTCCAGTATAGTCTAGACCTAAATTCTAAGCACCCCGTGGGGGAAAGGAAACGATGGAATAAACACTGTTGGCTTTTGGAGGTGGGTTACACCTCCTTTGCAATCTTCCTATGAGCACAGGCCTGGTCGCGTGACATCACCTTTAATTCTCAGTTTCAAGGGCTCCAGACAGGAGGCCTGGCATGTCTTCTGCCCTGGGGTCTAGAAGGGCTGTAAGAGTGATTTAATTATGGAATGGACTTACCGTGCCCTTCTCTTTGAAGGCAGAGAGCCATACCAGATGGCCCCTTAAGGTCTATGTGTGATGCTAGAGAGGCCAGTGTGAAGTGAGACAACTAGAGGAACCCTCTTCTTTCCCAGTCCATCTCCACAAATGAAGCAGTCTCCACAGGCTTCCTGGAGGAGGCGTCTTATTTTGATTGCCGTCTCTTTGTAATGGCCCTACTGGTAGGAATTTGAACTGGGGTGGGGGTGGGGCAGAGGCTACTGTTACAGAGAAAGAAGAAACTTATGGAAGTTTTGAAACTTTATTCCTATCATGCCACATCAGTGGCCCCCTGTGTTTGAAGGCAGCCACTGGCTCGGCTGGTCCTTGTCTGGTCCAGAGGGACAGCGTGACAGGCTGCGTCTTTTGCTGCTTATCTGGATAGGCTGTCTGTGTGTATGAGATGGCCTTCAAAGGAGGTTGATGGCCCTGGTGTACCGTCTTGGATTTAAGAGAGGAGAGAGGGAGGCAATGATGATCCCTGTGAGCCTTTTAGAATTTTAGCAGGCAGCGTGGGCCCCTCTGTTGTTACTGTGAGGGTTGTCTGTCCTGGGTGACGTAGGGCGTGCAGTTTACCCTCCGGCACTTAGAAGGTGACAGAGTATACTTACCATATAGCAAAGGGCATATGTATGTGTGTGTGTATATAGATGCATGTATAGACATACACACATACAGATATATCATATTCCCTTGCTGGAGAGGCTTGGTGGCTAGTCTTTATGCTTCCCGCTCAAGGTGAGGCTGAGCGGGGCCAGGCGGCGTGGCCTCCGCACCTGCCCCCATGCCTCGTAGAACCTTGGTGCTCGCGATTCCGTTTCTTTTGGTGGATGCTCCACAAGTGGGCTTAGCCTGGGCCCGTGGGACATTCTTGGATGGCTTAGTGAACTTGGGAAGTCAAGGGCTCCAAAACGTGGAGTTTGTTACCTATTTCACACCTGTGTGCTTTCTCATGCTGTGCCACATGGGGACTGTGCAGCCAGCCTTGTGAATGCCCTCCCCTGGGGTGAGTGGGCACACTGTGGCCAGGGGCATGCTGGACCACACTGGGCAGGGGTCAGTGGACAGCCTTAGTTTGGCCGACAATGTGCCAGGCCACCACGGTATAGACTCTGAACTAATGTTATGAAACAGGAGGCTTGAAAACACCACCACCCAAAGTACGTTTCCAAACACGAACAAAAACAGTGTTGCAGCAGCTGTCCTAACCTCAAAGGTGGAAAGCTTCCCAGTATGCATTTTTAGCACACAGCGCCATGTGGCAAGAACAGGAGATGGAGACAGAGAGAGGAGGCGGGGGAGGAGAAGCCTGTTTCTTTGGGCCTGTGTGCTAAAAAAAAAAAAAAAACCAAACAAACAAAAAACTGCTTCCGGATGGGATCCCAAAGAGATTTGTGTTTGCACTTTGGTTGTCTTGACAACAGTTAGAGATTTCTGCTACTTCCTTAGCAGCTGAGTGAGTAAAGTGCAGCTGAGGACTTCCCTGCTTCTGGTGAGGATCTCTCCGTGGCCTTTGTTAGTGTCTGTGTGGTGTCTCACACAGACAGCGCGCGCACACCCACGACCTCGTGAGAAGTCTGGGTGTCGGGAATGCAGATTTGTACAGGGCTTGGACAACATAGAGCCCTGTGACTCTGAGGCCATTAGGACCCACTGTGGACAGGCTTCTCCCACATCAGAGCACAGCCGTCGGATCTGTGTGACGTTGAAGGGGGCTGCCCTGAGAAGTAGTGAGCTCCTCGGTTCTGAAATCAGAAACTTGCATGAGTTTGTTGGGAGTTACTGGGAATTAATGCATAGGACCAGAGGTTAGACAAGGCAACCGTCTCAGCATGTTTTCTGTATCTGCATCACAAAACACTCAAGGCTGGACACTTTGGGAAACAAAGAAGATCTCTGGCTTATCGTTCTGGTGTGGGGAGTGCTCAGATCTGGGCTGTGGCCCTCTGCTGCACCAAATGCTGGTGGAAAGAATGTGGGGATTAGAAACTGAAAATGGTAGCTGTGGTATGCAGCGGGAGAGAGGCCATATTGGGAATTGAGCCCCCCACGGTCCCCCCATCTTTCTCTCCTATCAAAGCCTTATGGTAAGAGATTGCTCACATCCTTTCCAATCAGAGAGAGCGTCTAGATTCCTGTTCTCCAGCTTTCCTTACATCTCACTTAACTCCCACTGTCTCCCACTGCCTTGTGTGACACTTGTAGCACCGCACCTCAGCGTGGGCTGTGGGTACCACTTTCTGTGCACACAGCTGCACAGTCCTTGCTGCCTAGTGAGTGACTTCTCGACCTTGGATGGGGCCAGAACTTACCTCACCTACTCCCTCAAGTACAGCTAGCGCAGCACTTTGCAGTGATCGTCTCTTTAAAAGGAATCTAAAAAACCTCTAATCTGTCTGTGTGCTCCCATAAAATGGAAAAGAGAAAAGAAAAGGAACATAAACACAAAAAGTAAATACTACTTATCCTCAAATGGAATGATGATCAGGGCATAAGAAGAACCTCTTTAAGGCTAAAGCCCGGTTTGGTGGCACAATCCTTTAATCCCAACACAGGGGGCAGAGGCAGGTTGATCTCTGTGAATTTGAGGCTAGCTTGGTCTTCATAGTGAGTTCCAGGACAGCCAAGGCTATGAAGAGATTCTTTGTCAGAAACAAAACAAAACAAACAGAAAAGCTACACCAAAATCCTGATTCTGTAGTCTAGCATCTGGAACTCACTCGTGATCTTCTGGGCTCCAAAAGGCTTGGGCAATTCTGCTTCTCCAGCTCTGCCATCCGCATAATAAGTAGCTTGTTTCATAGGCTTATGCTGGCTCCACATAAAACCCTCTGCTGTCTCGAGTAGTATTTCCCTGACCCTGGCAGCGCCAATATCCTGGGTCTCCACTGCATCTGAGGCTGTGCCTTAGTTAGGGTTTCTATTACTGTGATAAAAACACGATGGCTAAAAGGAACTTGGGGAAGAAAGGGTTTATTTCATCTTAAAACTCCAGATCATGCTACTTCACTGAGGGAAGTCAGGGCAGGAACCTGGAAGCAGAAACTGATGCAGAGGCCAGAGAAGAGTCTTGCTTACTGGTTTGTCCTTCTTGCCTTGCTCAGACTGCTTCCTTATATCTCACCAGAACCATCTGCCCAGCGGTGGCTTGGGTGAGCTAGGCTCTCCAACATCAATTACTAGTCAAGGCATTATCCCACAAACTTGCCTATAGGCCGGTCTTATGGAGACATTTTCTCAGCTGAAAGTTCCTCTTCCCAAATGACTCTAGCTTACATCAAGTTGACAGAAAACTAGCCAGCACAGCTGACCCTTTGTCAGCTTGACACATAAGCGCATCACTATTCAACTAGAACCTTTTCTTTCTTATTTGTTTCCAAGATGGCATGTTATCACAATATAAAACATTAAATCTTTTATTTATTTATTTATCTATCTATCTATCTATCTATTTATTTATTTTTGCTTTGTTTTTCCAGGCAGGGT